ATTAGGCTTAAGGCCATCGCTATTACGGTGGAGGCCATCGCTAGTAGTGTTCTCTTTGTTCGCTTTTGAACATGAATCAAGATGGTGCCTGAAGGGCGTGGCCAAAGTCAACCCTACTGAGCCACCCAAGCCTGGTCCGGGCCGGTGCGGGGTCCCAGTGAATGCACATGTGCTACATGTGATACAGTATGTAGTCCAACACCTGGATGCGATGCTCTTGATTCAGGATTTCTTTCAAAAGCAAAACACACAAAAGGACAAGTTTAAATGGTTTGTTTGACGTGCATGTCCCAGGAAACTTTCGCCAAGTCCTGGCCAAAGGCATTCAAAAAAGTGGTGGTCATTCGATGCCTTGAAGTCATTTTCGCCAACGCTAGTTACCCTTTCAATCGATGATTCTTGGAGAGCCTTTTCGATGCACAAGTTATGAAATATATGTTGTATGGCTTTGCAGCCATAATGGAGCTGTGAACAGTTGAAGTTCTGATTCTATGATCAGTACGATGGCCCTTTGAAGCTGAAACGAACTTAATCTGGTGGCGTTTCTGGCTGCTCGTCAGGGTCATTCCCGAGGCAGGCAAACGCGCAAGACGCACCAAGCGCGCCAAACGCGCATGTGGATTGGTCAGGAGGATCCCAAGGGGGACGCATCCCACTTACGTTGCACATGTTGACTGAGTCGTGGGAATCGAAGCCTTTCAAGTGCTAATACACCTGGAGCTGTTGGCAGAACTGCCAAAACGAAAAGATCGATGAAGCCTTTCTTGTAACCGGGTTGCGTGGGCGGATAGCATCTAATAGCATCTAACTGTAACTTCATATCTCTCATGGTTCTTCCATGTTCTTTCACAACTGAACCAAACTGACAAAGATCTTGTGCATGTTGCCCACTCCACTGCTCCAAACAGCTGAACTGGGCCATACGGTGCCATCTCGCTTTTCTCAGGTGATTCCAGCGTCAAATTCTCAGATGGTTGAAAGTCTGAGCCGGTCTAAACGATGCTGTTTTCCAAAGCGCAGCTTTTTCGATTTTGTGAACGGTCCCAGGACTCCGTTGCTCAACCAAAGGAGGTATTGGGCCATTTGTATTGGAAGAGAACATGTCTGAAAAGATGCAGCAAGAATACGAAGATGTTGGAGCCGAACAAGCTAGCCTTTTTCGCTCGGAGGATAGTGGAGTCATCTCCGATTGCCCCCCAAATACCTGCAGCGCCAATGCCGTAACCCCAGTCTCAGCATGTCTCAGCCACTGGCAGCACTTTCTTGTCCAAAGGGAAGGCCTTGAGGTGAGTTACGTTTTCCACACTTTACAAGAACACCACCATCTCATGCAGCATGGGCGGTTTTGGCTCGTGCAAGGCGATACTCCATGGAACGTGTTCCTTGCCTTGGGTCAAGAACCCTCCAAAAAGTTTTATTGATCTACTGCGCTCTACTTGGTGACCAACAATGCCACATGTAGCCTACTGAAGAGAGTTGGTGACCCCTTTGCCACAAGGGTGCCCAAAAAGTGTGCAAAAAAGAACAAGACGCAGCAATAGCTCAGCGCGAAGTGCTGTGCGCCATGGCGCGTAGCTCTTTGAAGCTCACACCGGCCCTTTGGGCTCTTTGGGCCCTTTGGGCCCTTTTGGCTGGGTTTGCCTTCGTGACACCGACCGTGTCTCGATGAGAGTCAAAGCTGGCTTCACATTCTAACTTTCGGTAACACATTGTTAAACTGTTCAATCAAAACGTTCGTACAAAGCATTTGTGTGTTTTTTCATTTGATGGACTTGGTGTAGATTTGGTGTAGACTCTTCATAGATTTCAGAGGGCCTAGGAGGCTGTTCAGGACTTTCTTGTCAGGTGCGGCTGCGTGGCATGCGTGGCACCCCCGAGAGCCTCATATCCAGCGGAGCACTGGTGAAGGAGTCAACCGGAGTCATTAGAAACAATAAGCTTCTTGTTACTACTAGTAAGGCACCTGTTACTACTAGCGATGCACTTGTTACTAGTGAATGTGTTCAGCTCAAAAAATCGAAGATTTGTTGCCTGCAACGTTCAAGAAAACGAAGACGGGGAGGAGCCTGCACCACGACTGGGGCAAGGCTACGCCGCGGTGTCGGTTCTAACGCTGGTATCTTGGACCCTGTGCGCTGTGATGGCCCTGGCACGGCACCCCGCGGCCCCTCGGAAGAACACGATGAAAAGACATCAACCACTGAATGTTGAGCTTAAAGAAAGGAAGCTTGAAGCTAAGCAGCTAATACATGCTAATACAATATGAAATTTTACATTAGTTTGACTTTAGTTGCTTTTGGCTTCTTTGAAAGAATGTTAGACCAAGGTCATCAAGCTGCCATTGAGGCACAATGTGCTGACTGTAGCTCAGGTGGGAGTCAGAGTACGGATTTGATTTCCTGTGGGTCGTAGCGGTCGCAGGAACCGAACAGAGCAACGTATGCAGGACGCTGCCTGAGGTGGAAGGTGTATTGGCAGCACAGTCCTGACTTACCCTGAAGGCACTCACACCGTTGCCTTTGGGCTGTGCAGTGCTTGGGTCTCTGACAAACTCAGCTAGTACAGAAGGGTGGTGGGCAATGAACAGGACTGAGATTCTGTTGCTAGTTTATTACATGTGACGACAACCTAGTAGCGATGGCCTCCAACCTCAAAGCGATGGCCTCCAACCTACTAGCGGTGGCATCCAACCTACTTGCGATAGCCTCCAACCTCAAGGAAACTTGTGAGCCATTTGTGTGGAGCACTTGACAACATGTGGTTCATCTCAGTTCAGGATGACCTATCGCCGATTGAACTTGGCGATTTTCATGCTGTCTCTGTGGCTTGCAGCCGCCACAGCATTTGCTCCAAGTTTCGCAAGAGGCCGGATGCATCGGGATGCCTAGATTTTGTTGAGAAGCTTAAATATGCTCCAAAGTTTGTTCTGAAAACGCACAGGCCTGTTGGGAGCGTGTGAATTTCATCCTTTATGATGCTTTTATGATATAAGTTCTGTGGTTAGGCGAAATGCACAAAACAATCACAAAGCTTTGAGATGTAGTCCAGAGCTCAGGGTAGTTGCCAACAGCGCTGCCTGTCGCCTGGTGGAAACTGAGGTGTACTGGGTGATGAGATGACTTGCCACGGAGTGCATGGGGTGGGGTGGGGATGTGGTGGGGTGGAGGCTAATAATGTCCATGTGGGCTGGCACACGCTTGGGACGCTACGTTGATGATGCCACGTGGATGATGCCACGGAGATAAGTTGCCACGGAGTGCATGGGGTGGGGTGGGGATGGGGTGGGGTGGGGGCTAATAACGTCCATGTGGGCTGGCACACGCTTGGGACGCTACGTTGAGAAAAAAGTAGTTTCTGACATTGCACTTTTCGGCCCCTTTTCGTCGTGCACGCACTTCTATTGGGATACATCACGCAACCACCAATAATACCCAGGCGACCAACAGCGTAGTTCCCGAGTAGTTCTAAAAACATGTTTACCCAGATTCATCCATCTACATGAATTTGTCCATCATTTGAACACTTGTATCGGCAATTTTCTGCATGGCAAGTTCTTAGTTCTTGACTTTTTGCATCGCATGCTTGCATCTGCAATGTAATGTGCATCTGAAGCCATTGTGGGTTTGGTGTATATGACTTCCCTCTTGAACAATAAGGCCCTAAACCTATTTAAACCTCAAGCATGCCAGCATGTTCCAAAGCAAGTTCATTATAGTTCATCCTCCAAAGGAGTCCCGTACCTTCCCAAAGCTCTCCACACAATGTGTTCTGCTTCGTGTAGTTTTCCTCCTCAAGACCACAAGCATGTGTTCCCCCTGATACAAACAAGTTGTTTGCGTTGTTTGATTCATGTCTCTTATGACGATGCGCTTTTCCTAGTGCTTTTCCTTCATATACACCCATCATCATGGAAAGATGCATTTTCCTACATCAGCTCTATTTTCTACAAATGCCTGGTTGTTCACCAAAGATCCTCCAATTTGTTTTTGTCCAAATTCAATTTTGATGGGTCTCCTACGACTTCGGTTCCTTTGTAGAGGATTTGAAAGGCTTCTTGCCCTTCATACACACGTAAGTACTTTAAACTTCATAAGGCTACACTGTCTTGTGCCCGCTCCTCTTGGATGTGTAGAGACCAAAATATAGCCTCTTTCCTTATCACGTGCCTAGTCTTCCATCACACAAGTCTACCGAAATTGTCAATCCAATATCAATCAAGTTGAAGGTCTCACTACACAAAAAGACTTCCTTAAGATTGATCATGATAAATAGTGTAAAACACACGTGCTCACAACATTATCTTCTCTTGGAAAATGGTTCTAAGTTGAACATTGGAAGCATTCACCAGGCTATCAGCTATATCCCAAGGGCTTTGCAGTGGGCATCACGCTTTGCCATTCAATTTGTGCGGCCTATTGCCTTACAGTGTGGCTCAAAAGCGTGATGCCTTCGCCACAGCCTATTGCAGGACACTACCTGCCACGCATCTCGGGCACGCACAGCATTGTGAACGCTGTTTTGCTTTACAGCGCTCAGACATTCGAAATTGTCCGTAGTTCAATCTAATGGCCAAATCATGCTTCGGAAGTTCTCTTCAAGCTTTTTGGTTAACGTGGTGGTACACTAGGCCTTGTTCGTGGCATTGTCGGGTCCTTCTGGGCCTTGTCCCTTGACTGCATTGGTTCTGACCTTCTGATCTTGTAGCTTTAGTGGTTGACATCAGCATTTGAAGGTCTGTTTAGGTGTTTTGACACATCATGCTGATTTTTTGTCTCAAACAGAAAACACAATCACTTAGAGAAATGCGTATTGATTTGGTTGCGGTTTGCCACACGCCAGCCTAAGTGAAAAATCCAAGAATCCAGGTAAGTGAAAATTGTAATGCCAAAACAAAACCTCCAAAGCTTCCAAAGGCAAGGTCAAGTTCAGATCCCAAGCTCACGAAAGATCCAAAGTGAAGCGTCGCTGCACTAGCCCTGTACTGATGGAAACAACGTAGTAGACAGCTTGTGCTTTACGTAGGTTTTTTTCCACGAGGTACGTACGTCAATCCGGCGTCCCGGATTGATTTCACCTGCACACATCCAGTGTCTTCGTCGGTGCAAGACTGGATGGGCTGCTTGCACCCCCTGCAATAGTAACAACCTTTAAAGCAATCCAAAAGGATCCCTATGATTCCAATGCACACACACACGCCTCCCCGAGGGGAGGCGAGAAACTCTAAGGTCTAGGCGATTGTGTACGTGTGTGCGCAGTAAGACAAACGAATGAAGACATGAAAAGAGGACAAGACGGGACAAGGTGTGTGTGGTTGCAATGAAAGGGAACCAAGTGCACAGGGACAACCGATGAAAGCCCACCTCATTGTAAAGACCTGGGCGACCAAAAACCTGTGTTGAAGTAGGTTGTGCACGAACATACTAGGGGCCCGGCCATGTGTACGCAAAAGGAGAAAAGAGATGAGATGAAAAGACATGAAGACAGGAAGACATGAAAGAAAAGAGGAAAACAGATGTATGTCAAGGGGAAAAGGATGAACAGGGAACCAAATGGGGGGACGAGAGCCGATGAAGCCAAGCCTCATTAGAAACACCTGGGCAGACCTCGTTTACATGTGAACGCTACGTGGGCACCTAAGAGTGGGACAGGCTCCAACGAGCCTTGAAAAAGCTTCGGCCGCTGCGGCCACGTACGCCGTACCAAAATGGCTGGCTGCTCTAACCGCTAGGGTCACCTAAAGGCATGCCAAGATGGCGGCCAGCTTGGAGTTCAAACATTCATCAAGTCTTGGCAAAGAACTTTGGCTTAAGCCTCCTGCTGTCCGCTTCGGACACCTACGTTCCCAGCCAGGGGGAACAGCGACAAACCCCCGTTCAATGGTTTTAGAGGGGCTATTCTGCGGGGTCACCCTGGCCCTCACGAGGAGAGACACGCTTATAGAAATGCGTGCTGATTTGGTTGCGGTTTGCCACACGCCAGCCTAAGTGAAAAACCTAACAATCCAGGTACGTGAACATTGTAATATATTGTAATGCCAAAGCAAATCCTCCAAAGCTTCCAAAGGCAAGGTCAAGTTCAGATCCCAAGCTCACGAAAGACCCAAAGTGAAGCGTCGCTGCACTAGCCCTGTACTGATGGAAGCAACGTAGTAGACAGCTTGTGCTTTACGTAGGCTTCTTTCCACGAGGTACGTCAATCCGGCGTCCCGGATTGATTTCGCCTGCACACATCCAGTGTCTTCGTCGGTGCAAGACTGGATGGGCTGCTTGCACCCCCTGCAATACCAACAGCCTTTAAAGCAATCCAAAAGGATCCCTATGATTCCAATGCACACACATTATATGCTAATAGTATATATATATATTTCACACTCGTTCATTTTAGCTTTAACGAGAGGTTCCCAGCAACTTCAGAGACCTCGAGCATCAGCTCCTCTGGCAGTGCCTCTCACCTGGATGACCCGGAATCCACCGCCGGCTCGGACGGGAGGAATGAGCCGCTCGGAAGACGAACAAACTGTCATACCTTTTCCCTACTAGCGATGACCTCCAATCTACCAGCGATGGCCTCCAGTTGTGCACTGTGTTTCTTTCTTTTCGACGATGGGAGTCGATCGAAGAGAAACTCAGAAGACTTTGGATAAGACGACGGCCGATTCTCTCAATGGCTAGGCGACTTTTTTTCACGACTTTCTTATCCGTTTTGATTCGGAGGTATTCCATGGCTACCGTGCTCTTCCTCTGCTTTGCAGCGCCAAGTCCTGCAATTGGAAATGCTCGAAGTACAATCCTAAAGAACAGCAGATTAAACCTCAAGTTCCAACAGGAGCAAGTAACACAAGACTTCAACTGCTATTTGAACTTTGCTGCTTCTTGTACGTATTTTGGTCGTGAGGTTATGCCGTTCTTGGTCAGTGCCTTCGTTTGCAACCAGAGATGTGCTCATTTTCGTGAGACGTGAGTTCTTGCGTGTCACGGAATCAGATTTATGTTCCGTTCCACCAAGTCTTCACATCACGTCAATTCTGACCAGTCGACATCGGTTCAGTCGCGTTGCACCCAGGTTTCCCATTTGCAGGGGTGGCCACCGTAGGACTGGGACCTTTGAGCCGTGCTGGCGCAGCCTGGACCTTCTTGGCAGCCGTGGCAGCCTATGTCTTGAAGGATGCTACACAACGTGGCCGGATCCACAGTGGAAAGACCTTTCGCTACCTGAGGCGGACAACCAGACGAAGATATGAGGACTGGACATGAGGACATGCGTCCCCTGAGCTATCAATTTTCAGAGTCTAAATTGCTTTCAGCATGGTTTAGCTTTCAATTTAGAGTCAAGAAAGTCTTGGCCGCCTTGGCCTTGGCTCATTGTGTGGATCTGTTTTTGGACTCAGGTGGGGCTTTGTGGCTTCTTCTGGAAGCCACTTGCTGCTTGTAGCCTTGACGTTTGCGGGCATGGACGGTGGACGCGCAGCCTTGCACAAATTCTACGCAGGGACAATGTCCTGTCCCAAATTAGCTTGGCTATCTTTGGTGATGCACCTGAGCTGCAGAAATTTGGACTTGCGAGAGATTTTAGGCTGTGCATGTTTGATTGGTAGCGTCCTTTCGCTCCTAGTAGCGATGCCGTTTGCTCCTAGTAGCATTCTTGTTCCTAGTAGTAAGGCCAGGAGCCCCTAGTAGCGTCCTTGCTTGACGTGGTTTGGGAGGCATGCCTTGGTGGTCTTCGCTGCGTTGACGCCACCACCGAAGGTCGCCAAAGCTGCGAACACACCGCCTGCGGCACCGACCTTTGAAGAGCCGCTCCCTCCGCCTCCGCCAGACCCCGTCGTGTCGCCGTCGCCAGTGGCGCCAGTGGCGGCACCTGTCGTGTCACCTCCACCGGTCGCCACCGGAGGAAGTTTTGAGGTGAACCAGCGGGTGCTGTTCCGTGGGCAAGGAGGCACCGTGCGGTACATTGGAGAGACGAACATTGGGGTTGGGGAACCTTGCCGTTGATATGTGTTGAAGACTTCTAGTGACACATCATGACACATCCAAACCGATGGTAGTTTTCACTGTTTTGGCATATTTGTTTTGAATCTTTCTCTTTCAGCCAGAACTTGGAAAGATACGCTCTTCAGGAATGGATCGGAGTGGAGATGGATGATGAGATTGGAACACATGATGGCAGCCTCTTCGGTGTTCGCTACTTCACTTGTGCGGACCGGAAGGGGGTCTTTGCACAACCTTCGCAGTTGCAAGGTGCATAACTCGACCTCATCGAGGGAATCCCAAAAGATGAGGTGCAGGTGTATGATTTTCTAATAATTCGATCAACGACCATGCCAGCAAGGATCAAAAGGAATGCCTCCGACGTCTGACTTCACTTCGTCAAAGTTTCGACTTCACTTCGTCCTTCTTTTGGCTCGTTGTGGCATTGCACGAAATTCTTGCCCAGTTCGTCTGGATACTGCAGCCCACCTGCTCAGGCCGTGCAGGATCCTTCATGGAACTCCTTTCTTTCATTTATTTTCGAACATGGTAGCGTTCATTTGCTTTTTGCTTTGTATCGAGTTGCAGGTGTGTGCTCCTCCAGTGATTGTCCCACAACGGGCTGCCAGACTTGATTTCAGAGCAACAACTTGTGGCAGCTTGTGGAGAAGTGATGTCACAAGCCGTGCCGTTTACCCAGGTAAGGTGCATTTCCCCCAGGTGAGGCTGCAGTGCTCTCTAGTTTCAAGCCTTGAGATGATCTCCTGACCGAATGACAAGACACATCCATCATCCCGCATGTTTAGAAAGCATTTTGTCTCATTTTGTGGCGAAAGTCTTTACTTTTCAATCCAATTGTGGATCTCATTTGTCACAAGACCGTTGAAAGAACGGCGATGGGTTGAGCTTCCTTTTTTGTCTCGTGGCTTGACGGGAAGCGTCGGAAGTGTACAAACTTGAAACAGATAACGTCGAGGGGGATCCACGTTTCGGGAGGCATGGCGAGGCGCAGGCGTGTCTTACTGATTGATGGTCTTACAGTCTTACAATGTCTTAATGGATGTTTACCATGATTCACTTGCTCAGATGATGATGATTGTTTGAATCTGACTGGTTGGATTGTTCTGATGTGCAATTGTCTTCCAGCAAGCCCATGACCCTTGAGGGACAAAAGACCTTTAATGGTTCGGTTCCGTGCACAGACACAAAAGGCTTTGAACACCAATGCCAGCGTCAGCCCCGCCGCCCAGAGGCACCGAATAGCGTCCGGACGCTACTAGTAGCTTCTTGTTACTAGTAGCTTCAAATTCCTAGTAGCGTCCTTGCTCCTAGTAGCGATGCCAGGAGCCCTTAGTAGCGTCCTTGCTCCTAGTAGCGATGCCCTTTGTTAGAAGATTCTGAAATGTCCAGCCAGGTACACTGCGATCGCAGAATCCCAGGTCTCGACGCCAAGTTTGCAGGGTAAGACTTAAAGGGAGGCTCCGAAGAGACTGAAAGCATGCTCGAAAGGCTCTTGAAAGGCTTGAAACGCTTGAAACCAAGTTGGAACAATGCACATTTATCGCGCACAAATCCTCAGAGCGAAGTTTGTGGACAGAATCAACCTGTGAAGGCTCTGAGAAAGCCCCATCAGTCCATTGTCCGGAGCTTGGAATTGCAAAGTTCAAAGTTTCCCCTAAAGCCCCTAATTACATGTTTTTTTGTTACTCTTTTGCAGCGAGGAGGCTTTGCATTTCCCAAAAAGACAGGGCTATCTCTTTGTTGAATCTTCAATTGTCGAACATTGTTCGTGTTTTTCTTGATTCCTGAATTTCAGATTGCGCTCTTCCCATGCTGACGTTTGTGAAGGTGTGCATCATCGGTGCTGAAACGACAGGCGGGCTTCCGGGCTTATGAATCAAGACCTTACATCGCCCCACTTGCCTCCACGATTATCCACTTTGTTTGGTGCGAACACACAATAGAGACAACACTGTGACATGAGATGCGACCACTAGACAATTATGAGAACAAGATCAAAAAAGCATCAATTACAAGACTAGGAACAAGACTATAATCTACCAGGACGCTACTAGGGGCTCCTGGCCTTACTACTAGGAACAAGAAGCTACTAGGGGCTCCTGGCATCGCTACTAGGAACAAGACTACTATAAATAAATTCGAGAATAGCAAGATGACAATACTTGAGGCCCTGCGAGCCTAGGTGCCGATGTAGATTGATCTCCCACCCCCTGCAGGCACCAAGGAGTTGAGCACATTTCTGGCGCAGGAGTTTCGGCCCTCGACTTGTCATGTCGATGCCCTTTGTTACTAGTAGCGATGCCCCTGCTACTAGTAGCTTCTTGTTCCTAGTAGCAAGGCCAGGAGCTACTAGTAGACTCTTGTTCCTAGTAGAAATGCCCTTTGCTCCCAGCCTTTGTATTCGTGTGTGTAGATTTTCTCTTTCTGGAGATCTGATCCGAAAGCACAGTGCTGGACATGTAACAGGAGTTTCGACGATTGCCGGAGAGCGTGACCTTTGCTGTCTTCGGGGGTGTTTTGCAGGCTGCTTGGCTTTGCTTTGCTTCCGTTTCAAAAGGACCCCAAGCAAAGCAAATCGAGCTCAAATATGCATTCCACATTGCAGATTTGATGACATTATCCATACTTTGGCCAGATCAGTTCAAGGCTTCAATATGACATGTTAGTTCAATTCCTATCACAGGGTGTGCAGATTGTTCGGAGGCTTTTTCAGATGGCTTCAAAGATCCGAGCCGCTTGTGGAACCAAAGCGCGGACGCTAAGTTTCATGTTCGGCACTGTTCCACATGCAAATGCATACACCAATAAACATGGGAGGGTGGACAAGTTTTCTCTGCAAGGCTTGCAGCAGCATCGATTGCAGGCACGATGGGCGTGCTAGCTGGAAAACGTGCTAGACGGACAAGAGGTTACTCCACAGTGGTGTGAAGCGGGAGTGAAACCATCGAAGAATGGTAACGCGATGTGAACATGGGCTTTTGGATGTATTCGTGTAAGTTGGTCATAGGGCCCCAGCAGCCAGCTGACTGAGTCTGCCATTTCAAATTGGTGTTTATCATTGGGCACAAGAAGGGTTCGAATTCAATTTCATCTACATTATCCTTGTTGCAAGATCGCTTATCTCGAAGTTCCTCTGTTTGCTTTGAGATCAATTCTTGTTCTGTCTAAGAAAGTTCTTGTAAGCTGATGATGTTCGCATGGTGTCTTGCGTGGCTCCCTCGTAGATGTTCATCGGTCGCCCAAGCTGTCCGAAGTTGACCTCGTCGGTCCACGACTCCAACATGCTGTCGCAAGATGTCGCAAGCCTTCCATGGCTCGTTTGTTACCGGTTTCTTCAAGAAGGCCAAAGAATCCGGCTCGTGAGCATCAGGTGCAGTCATTTCAGTGCGGTGCAGCGATTTGTTGAAACAAACTTTAAGGTGAAGAGAAGAAAAAGACCAAGAAGAAAACATCGCGCCACAAACTGCGTTTCTTTGCAGGCGGCAACTGACCTGTAAGTTCCCAAAAGGGACGTGAATTGGAGAGTGAGACTGCTGCACAATGACGAGTGCTTTCGACTAAGCAAACAGCGGTCCACCATGGACATGAGAGACTGCAGATGGGCGGCGATAATATCACGAGGAGGTCGGCAGGAAGAAGACCAGCCGGGTTTGCGGGGCATGTCTGATAGTGCAAGTTAAGCTGTTGCAGGGCCGTTGGATCATCCCTTGGAGAATCTTGTGCAGACAAGTTCCCATGGGGATAAGCCGTCGACATGGATTTTCACCGCCCGATTGCTGCCAACTTGTTGCTGACCTTGCAAAGCCCTGCTTTCGTCAACAGCATCCATCAAGCAGTTCAACATTTTGTTGGTGAAGCTTCGTCACGGCCTGTTGACATTTTGCGCAGCGATAGGCGCGCTGGATTGCAATTTATCGCCCTTTTCAACTTTTTATCATGGCCGAGCATAGGCGTGCTGAAGAGGCTGGAGACTTTAGCATTGCCTTTTCTGATCTAGATCTACGTCTTCACATCGGCACCGCAACACCCTTCGACAGAACTGCAGGTGTCGGGTCTTGTCCCTTTCGTGCGGATCGCCTGGGTTTTGCGAAGACCTGGAGCTGGACTCGCTTGCGCCACTCTCGAGCTCTTTTCATGTTTGAAGGTCGTGCCATCAATTTGATGCCACCAGGGCTCGTCCATGAGGACATTGCAGCATGCTGTCTGGAGCCTACATGTCTTACTGCTTTCCAGAAAGCAGACCGCTCGAAGCATTTGACGTGCCGCAAAGATGGGACCGCTTGGCTTGTTAGTCTCGCGTAAAAATGCGTAGACTGGATGTCAGGCTCACAGCACCGTGTCTGGGTTTGAACAGCATAAAGGTTCAGATCTGGACGCGCGGAGTATCATCAAATGTCATAATGCTGGCGCTGCCCAGGCTCACATAAAAGTTGATTCTAGGTTGACTAGACAGACAAACTATAAACAAGACTGCACAAAACAAACACAACAAAGCAGAAGACGTTCTCCAAAGCCTTTCTCCGAAATTTTGTTGGAAGTGCCAGGATCAAGACAACTTGGAGACCATGTGCCGAATCGGTCCAGCACTCCAGCCTCGGGGGTTGAGCGGTTAAGCAAGATGTCAACTGGGAGCAGCTGGCAAGCCATCAGCAAGTGCAGATTGTGGTATTATTTGTGATTTATTCATAGTGTTCCCGGTTCCCTGGAACTGGAACTCCCCCCCCACCGAAAAAAAGTTATGTAAATCGCCACTACGTTTGGAACTAGAAATGGATCTGGAACTGAAACTTCCCCCCCCACCAAAAAGTAACTTTATCATAGGAATTTGAAATCGTCACTACGTTTGGAACTGGCCCCACTCAAAAAAACGTTTGGAACTGGAAGCGGAACTGGATCAGGAACTGGAACTCCGCCCCCCACCAAAAAAGAACATTGATTTTCTTTATCATAAGATTGTGAAATCGCCACTACGTTGGATTAGAAGTGGAACTGGAACTGGACCCATTCCCAAAAAACAAATCTTCATCACAGGAACTTGGCAATTCCCACAAAAACCATTGGAACTGGAACTGACCCCCTCCGACACCACTCTCACCATAGATCTGGATGTAAAACTGGATCTGAAACTGGAACTGACCCCTCCCCTCTCCAGGACACTGTCACAATGGATCAGGATCTGGAACTGATCCCCCTCCCAGGACCAACCATAGATCTGGAACTGGAACTGTTCCAACCACCTGGAGTATATTGTCAACTGTGTTCAACAGTGTGATTTTTCTGAGGTGATGTGTATGTTATCCTTGGCAGCCCAGAAGCATCGTGTATC